GAGACTAGGCTGGGACCCTTCAGAGTGTGGTCCTCTAAGCAGCAGCGGTGGTGGTGGTGGTGGCGGTGGCAGCGGCGGCGGTGGCCCCAGGAAAGGCCTTTTGCCAAGCATATTCCTGGGCCCTACCTAAGATTTGCTGAGTCAGACTCTTTGAGGGTCACCAATCCATGTACCAAATTCTCAAGGTGATTCCTGCTTAAGCTCTAATGCTTTGCAAAAGGATAAAAGGATTTTATGGAACTATCTAGCAGCTCTCTGAGAGGCCAGCACTGGAAGGACTTTGTAAATTATAGGAAGACCACTTGAAAGAGGGCTGGTTGAAGAGACTGGGTATCTTGGTCCTCAGAGTGAAATGAGAGGTTAGTAACTGCCTCCTGTGCCTTAGTCTGGAGACATAAAGCCCACAAGGATGCATGACCTTTGATCTCTGGAAAAACAATGGACTCTTCCTGCCACCCTTTTCATTTTTCCTGTGGCAGTGAAAGAATGGGCTCAAGGGCCTAAAGCAGGACCCAAGTAAGCAGAGAGACTCTTCACCGGCCTCCTTGCTGGAGACAATCTCTTGACTTTACCTCAGCTGCCCCCTCATTAGGATCTGCCTCACAACACACATACCAGGGTCCTCTTTCTCCTCACCCAACTCACTTCTGTTTCCTAGGTGCACTCAGTCAAGCCCAGAAATTAATTTTCATTGCCAAATCTAACCCCACCCCCATCCTTTCCCCTGTGGAAGCAAGTCTCTGTTACTCCTGTTCTAGATGCTTCCATTTCAATTCAAAATTAACCCAGTAAATCTTTTCATTGGACAATTATTGTATATATAAAACCTACTGCCCAAGCTTCTGGTTGAACTCTCTATCTCTCTATCTATCTATCTATCTATCTATCTATCTATCTATCTATCTATCTATCTATCTATCTATCTATCCATCTATCTATCCATGCCATATATGCAGCAGACTCTTTTCTCCATCAAGAGTCTCAGAGCTCAAATGCACCAATCATTATGAGGTTTATAAGAATTCCTTTTGGCTTATTTTCTTGGCTATTTTTCTGTATTTTCTTAGTTTTTTGCCTATGTGCTCTTGGAGGTCAAAGGAGAACATTAGGTGTTCTAGTTTATCTTTCTGCACTTTATCACTTTGAGGCAGGGTCTCTTAATGGAACCCAGAGGTAGGCTGGCAGATGCCAAGCCCCAGTGATTCTCATGTGTCCAGGTCCTACAGCAGTGGGGTTGCAGGCACATCTGGCTACACCCAGCTGTCTGACACAGGTGTTGGGATCTTACCACAGGTCATCAAGCTTTAGAGGACTCATACAGTGACCTAGCTTTCTAGACCAATTAACTTCTGTTCATTCTAAATAAACTTCACTCATTTCCCTTAACTGAGATTCATTTATAGGTCTCTATAGCATACTACTAACAACCACCATTAAGCTGATAAGGGGCATCTCAAACATGTAGAGAGCTTATGTGCCAAGAATCAAGTTAAGTTCTTTATTCACATTCCTTGATTTTGCTATCCACCATAAAAGGATGAGACTATCATTGTATCCATTGTGCAGATGGGAAAACAAAGGATAGAGAAACTATGGAGCTAATCAATGGTAGATCTGGAGTTTCCAATCAGGTCCAGTAAAATATTATTCTTATAGAACAATTGTAAGATGCTTTTGCACATGGAACATGTCCTTCTAAAGTGTCTCTCATTTGTTCTCATACCCCTAATATTCATTCCCATCCTACACATGCAAGAATGAGCGAGGCATTTTCTCAGTCCCTATCTTGGTACAATTCCACATCCCAGTGTGTTTATGAGTCCTAAAGCCTCTCTCATCCTACACTCCTGGGTGAGACACATTTTGGAGGGTCCCTTGTGTAAGAGAAGGTGCTGGTAAGGTCATCCTTCTTCTCACTTGTTTTGTGCAGCCAAGTGCCAGGAGTTTCCACTGTGGCTACACGTTGAAAGATGTGAAACATCCTCAGTGCTCAGGCTACAACCTGGACCAATTAAATCAGGATCTCTTGGGTGGGGCTGAGGCATCAGCAATTTTTAGAGTTCCCCAGGTGATTTTATTGTGTAGCTAAGGTTGTCTGTGATGACTACAGGTTTAATGTTCCTGGTACAATTCTGATACATTTTTTTACATGCCCTATAATTACAAAGTTTACATGGTTTTCTCCATATGCCTCCTGGGCCATCTAACATAAGGTAGAAGTTTAAAAAATATTACCCACAAAATGATAAAGATTTTTCATGGGGTTCATATAGTAATCTTCCTTATAAGGAACTCACCTTTAATTAGTCACTGGAGACCATTTATTCTCTGAATACTGCTTGGGTCCTGAAACAAGCCAAAAGGAATGTATTTTGTGTATGAAACTTCCTATGGTGTTTTGTTTTGCTGAAACTGTAGGAACTAGGGAACTCTTATAGGGAACTTCTTCCAAGTCTGCAAGGATGTGGCAGGAGAGTCTAAGAATGTGTTGCTAATGACACATATCAGTGATTCTGGAATATAAAGGATATATTTGATGCTAACAGTATCCTATATCCACATTTTCAAAAATTAAAGAATTCAGGTGGAAGCCAGCATAACAACGAGCTGGTCTGTACTCATAATCCCACTACTCTAGAGATTGAGGCAGGGAGATCTGGAGTTTGAAGTCAGTCTGGATTACATAATGAGTTTGAGATTAACCTGAACTATACATCCAGACCCTGTCAAAATAAAAACAAAAACATCACTAAAACCCTAAAAGAACTCAGTTGCTCACCTATAAGACCTTACCCAGTGGGTAATAGCAAGTTTGGAAGATAAGGAGTTCCCCTCAAGCCATCTCCAGTTTACCTCTGCTCCCTGACTCTCTTTTCAGAAATGAATGCACAGAAAAAAAAAATCCCAAGTGTCATTTTTCTCAGAAAAGTTTAGCACTGTTGAGCAGGGGTGAGGACTCATAGCTTCTAGATTAGAGAAGACTTGGTTTCTTGAATAGAGTGTCAAATCCTGTAACATTTCTCATCTCCTTTCTATAATACATGAATTAAGCCCAGGTTTACCTTGGCAGACAGTACTTCAGGGAGAGAAAGGGAGGGAGCAACAGGAGCATGAGAGGATTTTCATCTGGATTTAATGAAATGAGTAGCTTTCAGGTTGACACAGGGGCTGAGCTGGGACAGGGGACTGTCCCTGCAGCTGCCCAATGAAGGACAGAAGAACGAAATTGCTAGAGCTCTGTTAGTGGTATGTGTGCTGAGGATTGTTCTCAAAACATTTCAATCTTTTGGGGCGGGGAAGGAGCTGCTCTCAAAGTCATATTATCTGTCCACAAGCGTGTGTTTGAGGGGGGAGAGGTGGACTCACAGCCACCAGCAAGCAAGAGTCCATGCAGACCTCAACAGATAGAGCTAGAAGGGGTCTAGGGAAAGAGCTTTTCTAGCTTTCCTCAAACCTGTGACTTCAACATTCTCTTGGTTGGCTCTTGTTCATGGTAAATCCTCACTGAGGTCCCCAAAGTGAAATGTGCCCAGTGGTCAGAGGCCAAGAGAGCTCAGAAATAGCACTAATAATGTTGCTAGGATGAATGCTAAATGGTGTAGCCATTGGGAAAACAGTTTGTCATTTTCTTACATAGGGATCAAATAATTCCACTTCTTGATACTCATCTATGAGAAATAAAAATGTATGTTTAAGCAAAAATCTGTGCATAAGTGTTGCTAGCACCTGTATTCATTAAAAATAAAGGATTAAATGCAAAGATTTCTCAATTGGGGATAGACAAACTGTGGTATTAGCATATCATTCAGAAATTTAAAAGGATAGAACTTACTAACAAATGCAAAAAAAATATGTGAATCATAAGTACATTCTGCTGAGTCAAATAGTCTGACTCAAAATACCACCAATTTTGTGTTCTATTCATAGGACAGTCTAGAAAAGGTAGAGCTATAGAATCTAGAGGGCAGGACTGTTGCGTAGGAGCAACATGAGGTAATTGGGCATGATGGGAACGCCTTGTGTCTAGACTGCATTTGTCAAAACTCACAGAACACTACACCAAGAATTTCAGATGGGTCTGGTGGCAAAGGACTATTCTAGCAACTTGAGAGGCTGAAGCAGAAGGTCCTGCCTGAAGTACAGTGTGGATTCAAAGCTAGCCTGGGCAGTTTAGTGAGACCTTGTCATAAGAAGTTTTAAAAAAAAGGGACTAGAGAGCAGGATCTAGGTTTATACGATCAGGTAATGCCATTCCATAGTACTCAAGTTCCATTCCCAGTACCCATGTTGGGTGGCTATAACCAACTGTAACTCCAGCTCACAGACATCTGTCTGGACTCTGAGGGAAAACTGCCCTCACATATGTACACACACACAAACACACACACATTTTAAAGATAACAATTTTTTAAAAGACTTGGAATGTAGCTCAATAGTAAAACACTTGCTTATAGCACACATGAGGCTTTTGGTTCATTCAGCCACGCAGTACAGGAAAAATAACTACAATGGAAAGATTTATAGGCTTTCTTGTTTGTTTGTTTGGCTGGTTATTTTTTGAGACAAAGTCTCACTATGTATCCCCAACTGGAGTTCTTGAAAGAACACCAAAATAGCCTCCAACTCACCTTGAGCTACATGTATGTGCCTCCTAAGTGTTGCAATTAAAGGCCTGAACCACCAAACCCAGCTCAATGAGGAAAAATATTAACATGCAAAATTGGAAAATAAACCAGCAACAGGTTGGAAATTAGAAAAGATATATATATATATATATATATATATATATATATATATATATATAAAAAAAAAAAAAAGAGATATATATATATATATATATATATATATATATATATATATATTAAAAAAAAAAAGAGTTTTAAAGCGTGTAGCCTTTACAGTGTTTTCACTCGAATTCCAGACCCCAGTTTGGTTTTGATGGTAATTAGGAGGATAAAGCAGATTCCTTTTGCATGCCTCTGAAGTGAACAGAGACTCACCTTCTCCCCTTTTCCCTGGAGATCATGGTAGCACATGCACAAGCAGGGTTTCTCACTCTAATGGTCTCAGCTCCATGAAGATTATATGGTCCTGGTGCACCTTTATGAATTCATTCTTTTGATATGAAATCTCTTTCTGTTCCCTGTTCAAACTGAAAAAGAAAGAAAGAAAGGCAAATTATCTTGTGTGTGTGTGATCTGATTAAAGTACTATTTAGGACCTCTGTTTTCTGCCAATAGACATCCAGGGTCTGCACTGGTGCTAATAGGATTGAGAACACCACTTTTACAAGCATGATCTCAGTATCACTGAGGAACTTGTGAAAAATGCAGAATCTAACCTTGAGCCTGCCCTCCTCCCATAGAATAAGAATCTGCATTTTAATAAGGTGTCCACAGGGTTTACCTGCAGATTAGAGTCTAAGAATTCTTGCTCTAGATTTAATTGTCCACTCTAATTGCATAATAATCTACAGCCTTCATAGCTACTATGAAAAAAATAAGGCCATTGACTCTCACTCAACCTACCATGACATTTACCCCACTGAGTATTAGCTATGTAACTCTATGGAAGCAAGTAGGTATACAACAGTATGTCCTTTCTGAACCTCAGCTTCCTGTCTGTAACATGGGTATAGTTATAGTGTTGCTGTGGGGTTAAATTAAGCAAGAAAACAACACTATTATACTTCACAACTGACCCAGGGTTACATGCCTCAGTTGTCTCACTTTATTCCTCAATGAACCCAGACTGCTGAAAACTGGTTGGGAGAACACTGAAGCCAAATCCCCAATCAGGTGAGCCATTTGAATGAGTTAAATGATCCAGGATGCGCATGGCCAGAGGAAGAGCCAAATGGCCTTGGCAATTGTCCACTTCGGGAATTAGTAGATTGGCAACTTTCAGAGATTGGTCTTTACAGTAAGACCTTGTTAGCAACGTAAATTCTAGGATGCTACCTCAGACTAACTAGAAATTCTGTACTTAAGCTTCATAATCACAAGCTTTCCCGATGACACTTCTACATGCTAGGAGGGCATTATCAATAATGGTAAACCACTGAATTGTCTGCTTTTATTTAAGGTCTTTTAAAAAGAAGCAATACTTAGAAAGATTTACTGAATTCCTAAGCCAGTCCTTCTGCTTCTAGGTTACTGGTTTTAAGTGTCAGTATTAAAACACATTGGTGTGTAAAAACATGTCTACTTTTGTTATGATGTATATTGCCAGCCATCTACAACAGATTCATTCAACAGCTGGTAATCGTGTTTCTGTTATATGTCAGGCACTGGTCCAGACTCCACTAACAGAATAAAACTCACTTAAGTGATACAATCATCACTTGTAATTGGTTTGTTAATCAAAAACACTGGCTAAAAATGGAATCATGAAAGATGATACACAAATGCTTCACTTCAACAGAAAACACGCAAATTGATATTTGTCTGCCCATTTTTTTAAGCTAAGATAATTTCTTTATTTACATTGGTAGGATTGCATGTAGTCATATAGATAACACATTGGTTTTTTTTTTTTTTTTTAGTATTCATTCCTTAAATTGCAAGGAAAGTTAGACCCATAGAAAACAGTCAGAATGCAAACTCTGATCTCTATTTTTAAGACATTTTCAAGTCAGTTAAAGTTGTCTTGGTCACGTTTATTCAACAAGAATCTACTTTTAGCTACTCATATTTGTTTTCCTCAAGTTATATTTGATTTAGTATGCATGGAAGCAACAGCTCTCTTTTGGCACACTTATTCCAATAGTTTATGTAACATTGCCTGGAATGATGTAATTACAATAACAAGTACAGGTTGGGAACCCACCCAACCGATGATTGGAAAGTTTACCATCCTACCCCTCTTTATAGGTGAATTGCACAAGAACATGAGAACTCAGTCTATTGACTGCAAGAGTTCTCCATGCTGTGGAAGAACACACACACAGCATGTATTACAGGAAGGACAGAGAGCTTTGGTCAATCACCTGATTAGTTTAAAACTTTGGTTACCAAAAGTTTAAGTCAAGATTTGTTGCAGGGAGGCCTGAAAATAACTTAGAGACACTGAGCAGAGCAAGTCTATAGTAATGACATTTTAACTCTTATTCCAGTTTGCTGAGTCAAGTAGAGGCTGCTGAGTTCAGTTTGGTTACCCTAAGCTGCATGTAGCTCTCAGAGGCTTATTAGTGACAATGATCTTTCTTTGGAAGGTTAAGAGCTGACACTTTGCAGCTCTGCTTGGTTTTGTTTGTTTGTTTCTTTCATTTTTCAAATTTCACCCACAGAGGAAGGATCTGTTTCCACAGTAATGCTACCCAACAAACCAGCTCTAAACTTATCTTAAAAGAACCAGTTGTTAATTCTCACAAGAGTATGGGTTGACTGGAAGTTCTGCTGACCAAGATCCATTCAGCTGACCTCAGCTGGGTTTGTTCATTTGTCTACAACTATCTTCCAGTTGAGAGAGAGAATGGCTGGTCATGGATGAGCTTTCTGTAGAAAGAGCAGTACAGTCAACCTAATTCTGGACATCTGTGCTCAATGTATGCTAGATTAGGACTTCTGAAACATTAATGTGCATACAAATCACACAAGGATCTTATATAATTGCAGGTTCTGATTTAGAGAATTCTGGAATAAAGACCTGAGATTTCCAAGATTCTGTGTGTGTGTGTGTGTGTGTGTGTGTGTGTGTGTGTGTGTGTGTGTTTTGGTTTTGTTTTGTTTGTTTGTTTGTTTCAGACAGGGTTAGAAACTCATTAGGTAGCCTGAACTAGTCTTGAACTCTTAATCCCTTTCTTGAGTCCCACAAAGCAGGGATTATAAGTAGATGTCAGGTATATGCCAATAGTGTTGATTCTAAGACTGCATTTAGAGGAGCAAGGGTAGAGTATGATAAAGCTTGCTGCTAGATACTCGTTGTCTGTGGACCTGATTCCTGAAATTCCCCAGCACGACCTCCCAGCCATGGAAGAGAATCTCTTGCTCTCCTCTTCTTTTTACAATAGTCCAGAGAAATCTCTGTCTGATTACCTTTGATGGCAAGGACTCACTGTATAGTGGCTGGTTACAGAAACAAATTTTGTCTTTCTATTGAGTTAAAAGTCAAATTCCATGCAACCTCCATCCACCAATCCCAATATGCCATTTGCAGCATTTCAAGTTGTCTCCTTACTTGTCAGTCTGTCTAATATAGTAGGGGGCCTCCTTTCCCCTCTTTCCTAGATGGACACTCTCCTAAGTCCTTTGGCTGCTCTACTTAAAGGTCTTCACATTAGGACCTTATGTTGCCCTTTCCCAGGCATGGCCCAGTAGGTTAGTATTACACTTAGACATGGTATCCAGTATATATCCAAAAGAATTGAAAATGGGGTTAAAATAAAGATACTTTTATACCCCCCCCCCCAAATAGAATTATTCAAAACAGTCAAATGGTAGACACAACTCAATTGTCCATCTCAAGAGAATGCAGCCGGGCAATGGTGGCACACACCTTTAAACCCAGCACTCAGAAGGCAGAGCCAGGCGGATCTCTGTGAGTTCAAGGCCAGCCTGGTCTCCAAAGCGAGTTCCAGGAAAGGAGCAAAGCTACACAGAGAAACCTTGTCTTGAAAAACCAAAAAAAAAAAAAAAAATGCATTTTTTTAAAAAAGCATAATTCAAACACACAATGGAATCAGCATTAAATTATAGAGAACAGGGGCTAGAGAGATGATTCAGTGAGTAAAGTGCAATTATGAGGACCTGAATTCAGAGCCTCATTACCCAGGTAAGGCCTAGATGTAGTGATACATGCCAATAACACCAACACTATGTAGGAAGACAGGAATCCCCAGACATGGAGACATGGATAGCCAATCTTGTTAAATCATGAATTAACCATTCAGTAAGAGATACTCTGTCTCAAAAATAAACTAGATATTTTTGGCACCCAGTATCAACTCCAGCCTCTGAATGTGTACATATGGGAACATGGAATTGCATGTTCTCTCTCTCTCTCTCTCTCTCTCTCTCACACACACACACACACACACACACACACACACACACACACACACACACTTTCTTTTAAAAAATGGAAATTAATTTTTCTTTGTTTTACAATAATTACCAGAATGGAACCTTTGTCTTTGTGTATGCTAAGCAGACATTCTACTGATACTCTGTCTCAAAAATAAACTAGATATTTTTGGCACCCAGTATCAACTCCAGCCTCTGAATGTGTAACATGGAATTGCATGTTCTCTCTCTCTCTCTCTCTCTCTCTCTCACACACACACACACACACACACACACACACACACACACACACACACTTTCTTTTAAAAAATGGAAATTAATTTTTCTTTGTTTTACAATAATTACCAGAATGGAACCTTTGTCTTTGTGTATGCTAAGCAGACATTCTACTGATGAGCTAGCTACACCCCAGTAGAGGAGGAGAATCCTAACACACACTGCAATGTGCATAGACCTTGGGGACATTTGCTAAGTGAAATCAGAGATAAACGCTGTATGCAGCCACTTTATGTGAAGTACCTAGAGACAGAGAGTTAAATGGTTGTTGCCAGGTGCCCAGGGGAAGAGGAAAGACAAAGGGAGTTATTTAATGGGTTGACTTTCAGTTTTGCAACATGGAAAGCTTTTAGAGATTATTGCACAACATCAATGCTCTAAACACCATCGAACTTAAAAATAGTTCAGTATGGTAAACTTGGTTATGAGTGCTTTACTACAGTTTAAAAAACAAAAATCTAGCTCCCAGACCAGAGACGAGTCTTCCAGAAATATTAAAAGGCTAGTAAAAAATATGCAGGGACTATGGGTGTTGCTTGCTTAACTGCCAACCCCCTATATTATTAGTAATGCAGCTCAGACCATGGGCAAATTGCACTATTAAAGCATGTTGCATGTGTGGTCTAGTAAAAAAAAGAAGCCTCTAAGTTCTTCTTCACAGAAATAGTTGATTTCTCTAGTTTCTAATTGGCTTTAAGAAAAATATTGTTACTTTAGTGCATAAAATAATAATCTTTTGGAAAGTAATTTCCTTTTCTGTTGTCATTTAATTTTTTTCTATGCTTTAACTTTATTGAACAAGGAAATAGGAATTTTGCCACTGTCCTGAAATAATTTCTGAATGATGCTTATAAAAAAAAATCTATGTATCAGCAAAGCTGTATTATGGCTAGCACTGACATAATGACTAGACATTTATAATGGGTCAATATTCCTATGCTTGCTACTATTTGTTTAACCATCCTTAAGCACTCTTGTAATAAAACAACCATAAAAATGATTTACCTTCCAAATGAACAAATTAAACATAAATGTTACAATCATCCAATTTTGATATTCTTAATAACTTCTAAATCGGAGCATATATCAGTTAAAGAGACCATTGGCTTGAGAACAGAAGTGTCAAACACAGACACAGAGTTGTAATTTATTGAGAAACATTAACCCAAACATGAAACACTGTGACCATTGGCAGGTGTAATCATTTTTCTTTGACACTCAAATTTACATGTTTTGGAAATTTTCCCAGATAACTCAATATATTCAAGTCTCTTGTTCTCAAGTTCCAACAACTTCCCTCTCTCCCTAACTCCCTTAGATGTCGAGGTAGATTTCATTCTGTACTTCTTTGGGAAAACTGCCTGCAATCGAGATGAAAACACTCTCCTAGCATTCACTGGGCTATGGCAATGTTCAAATGCTACCTGCTTCTGAAAGTGTAATTTTCTTTAGGTTCCTTTTAGGAAGCGCAAGGTTTGTAAGAGCATTTAAATTGGCAAGTCGCACCTATGGCTCAGTGTGTGAGCAAAGGACTCCAGAATTTCTATGAACCAAGTCATCGAGTCACTCAGGTGTCATCCACAGTCCAGGCATCTCCTTACATCAGTGCCACCGAGAGGACCAGTGAACATTTCTAGATGTTTTGTGAACATACAACTTGACAGCAACAGGATAGTTTCCCCTCAAAGACTCAATTTTAAGAAATAAAAAGTATACTTTATAAGCAGGACCATTTCTCCCCATAGCTCCAAAAGTTACTTTAGTGCATAAAATAATAATCTTTTGGAAAGTAATTTCCTATCACTAAGAACATTGGGTCCTAAGGAATGAAGTAGAGACATCAGTCCCATGCGGCCTAAGTTTTGCGTCTTAGGTTTAGAGTGATTTTCTGTGATTGGTTTGTTAAAAAAAAAAAAATGTGGAAACATAACTCTGTTCACCTTGACAGTGAGGGTGAGGTGCAAGTAGGCCAGGGCAGGCAAAATTATGATATCCACCTAAAGCCAGACCAAAACAAAGTTTCAAATAGCCTCATACTAAATTAGTCTTGATAATGCAACAGACTTACAGTTTGGGTTTTCAAAAGAAAATTAATTCAGCTTTTTTGTGTATGTGAAATGAAGCTTTGGAAAAATATGTTTGTGCTTAATTTATGCTTGAGGGGGTAAGCTCATGGCTTATTTATGATTGCTGTGGAAACTATTTTACTTTAACCTGACTTTTAATATTTCATGTGTGGTCCACCCTTAAGTGGTAGGGGGTTTTCTATGCACAATTCCTTGTAGTGAGGAAAAATGAGAATAATCCAGGAAGACAATCTTATATGGAGACGTTGTACTTACCTGGAGAACTGACTGGCAGAATTTCTAGGAGCCTTGACCAGGAGTCTGAAGCAGTAACCCATTATAGGACAAGAGGATCTTCCAGGACATATAAGTCTTCTTTGTCTCAATTGAAAAGGGACAGAGAGATATTATATCCATAGACTAGGACTTGAAAAGATGCATTAACTTTTCTGCAAACAGGGAGAGAGTGAACCTTGTGAGAGAGCTCAGCTGTTAAGATCATTTGTTGCTCTTTCAGAGCACCTGAGTTCAGTTCGTAGAATCCACAGTGTGGCTGACAAACATTCATAACTCTAGTTCCAGGGTATCTGATGTCATTTTATAACCTCTTCAGGCACTAGGCATGCATGTAGTACACACACACACACACACACACACACACACACACACAGAGAGAGAGAGAGAGAGAGAGAGAGAGAGAGAGAGAGAGAGAGAGAGGTTAACCAGACATATACATAAAACATATTTTAAAAACAAGATAAAAGATTTTAAAGGGCGCATTATATATTCCTCCTCTTTAATTCGGACTATTTACTGCAATGAAGAAAAGAATTAGAAAGACAAGTAATCAGGGAAAAGAGCCATGGGCTTGGGTTACTACCTCCATCTACACCACTTCTAAACCTTGAACATGAATGCTTTGCTCTACCCTGCTGAAGTCCAGGATTTGAGTGGTTTCTGCCATGTTCTTGGAACTTTGGATAACAACAGGTATATCAGCAACTATTTCCTCAGTGTTTTATAATTGATATTTCAAGGAGAAATGTGGAGGAATTTTACAGTGAACAAGTCTATTCCCTAGATTCATTGGTCCCCTTCTCCCACCCCCTCTCTTTTCATTCTTCTGTCTTGCTGAGATAGGATCTCAGGACATGCTGGCCTTGAACTCAAAGTCATCCTCCTCATTCCCAAGTGCTAGGCTCTAAGACTTTATTACTTTCTTTAGGCAGTATAGCTAGCCACCTAGCCATTCTCTACTTTTTATGCATTTAAAGTTACATTGTAGGTCTCATTTCAAATATCCCTAAATGCTTTTGTACTGATATAAGTAATGGGGGGGGGGGCAACTCTCAATCTTTCAATCTCTCTCTCTCTCTTTTTAAACAAATAATGAATGGCACTGGTTTCAAATGTGCTTGTTAGTGAAAGTTGATAATGCGCACACCTGTGTCACCCAACTCCCTATTAAGACACAGATAGTAGCCTTATCTCACACCCAGGAAAGCATCAAGCACATCAAATCTCCAACCACCCACCACCCTTCCCATACTTCATTTTTCACCTGAGACTAGTTTTTCCTGTTCTAGAGCTTTGTGTGAAGGAACTCATACATGTTGTACTCGTGGTGCCGGGCTTATTTCCCTTCACGTGTTGTTCTTTAGATCATCCCTGCTGCTGCATGCAACAATTACTTCTCAATAAATATTGATTAGCTGATTCTTATCAGTGTTGACTAAGGATTTCAGTTGATTAAACGGTTTAAAATACAATCATTATAACTTGAACGTCTCTTGGTAAGTCCTATGGGAAGTCAGTACTCTTCCTTGATGATTCAATAAAGGTGGGGTACATTTTGTGGAACAGAAATTGAGGCATCATCTTTAAAAAATTACAGAAGCTATCCAAACCCATGCAACGGGTCCTAGGGTAACTGGCTCTGAGCCCCTCCTTTCTCTCAGGGGTAAGGGTAATGGCTAAGTGGCATTTTTCATGGGAATGTTTTCTGGACTATTCATTTACAATTGGAAAACAAAGCCCAAAGGCAGGCTATGGCTTGGCAAGGGGAAATGTCCATATCTAAATTCTGTTTAGTAGTAGTTCCCCATTCTCTATGTTGGGGGCGGGTGATCAAGGAAGTAGAGGACAAAGCTTCCACCCAGAGTCCATTGCAGTAAACGTAACTAGCTTCTTGGGGGACTCCCGGCTCACTGGAAGAGCCCCAAGTGAAATTTTTCGAAAGAATCCCTTGTAAGTCACAACTGTCTTCCTCAAATATGCCTTCCCAGGCTCAGAAATGACTAGGGGCTCTGTGCTATTTGCTGTGAGAGTTTGGTATTTATTAGTGATTTGACATTCCTGCTAAGTTATATGGGTGCTTTTCACTACTCAAAACTACTATATTTCCTATTAAAGAAGGGAGCTAAACTCACCAGTGCCCAGGTACTGATCTCAGCTTTCATGAAGCCGAAATTGTTACTAGGAGGACAATTGTAATCCCAGGTAGCTCTTCAATGTAACTCAGGTGGCTGGCTCAAAAATTCTCAAGTAAATGCCTAACTCTACAGCCTCTTTCCAGGTGGCATGGACTATTGGATACAGCTTTAAACTTGAAGACAGCTTTAGACCTTAGGACCTCAAGGACGGTATGCTCTAAGACCACTCCAGCCTTTATGGGCTGTGCCGCTTTTTTTTTCACACCATCAACCCTTTGCTTTAAAACCATCATTGAGCATCCTAACTTGGTGAATAGAGGTGAAAGTGAGGAGTTGAGTGAGAAGTGGGGACTATTGTTTCTGGAAACTTTAGTGGGTAAAACCTGCATTGGATTAAGATTGGCAACTGGATGCTTTGCGTTAGTGATAATTGGTGGGAAAGGGGCTGGGGGGTATTGAGGAATGCTCAGGTGGCTGCCGCCTGGGCCAGGTGTTTCTATGACCAGTTGCAAACTCATTCTGATTTTGGCTATGTGCTTCCCAATTATGTATTAAGTTCCCCAGGAATGATCAAGATGGGGCTCACTGCCATTAAGAAATCACCGTTTTCCGGTGATTAAAACGCCCAAGATTGCTGAACTATCTTTGGTAGCCTTGAACCAATGTACTGATCAGCTTTCTTGACCTCACCAAAAGGTACCTGGTACTATCTATACTGGGCCTCTTTAAATGTAGATCGCCACAAATATCTATTTTTATGTTATCATAATTCAGCATGTTGGAAAGTATTTTTCCCTTGACCCATCAATGCCCTTTGTCTAACAGGAGGCGGGTTAGAGGGCAAGACTGATCCAGGAAAAGCCACACTTTTCTTCATGGCAGGCCCAATGCAAGGTATGAAACTCCATTCGTCCCTCAAGTCCTTTCATGGAAATCTGTATTCCTAAAGAGTTCCGTTTAGACTCAGCTGGAAAGAGGCTGGCAGAGACTTCAGCCAGACTGCGGGTTCCCTTTGACCTTGATTATGACCAGGAGTGTCGCTGCTAATTGCAAGGCCTAACTCAAGGTGGAAAATGGCATCGGTTTCCACATCACCCAGGAGAAGCCAAGTTCTGTGGCCCGCGACAGCGGCGAGGTTCTTTTCAGGCGGCTCCTCGCCACCCAGAGAGCAACACGGAGGCCGCCTACAGGTGCAATCCCGCCACTGCGCGGGAACCGGAGGCTGGCGCAGCCCTCGGCGACTCTGCAAGCCCTTCCCGAAGCCTGAGCAGAGCCCCCGGGTGCACGCCGCCCTCTCCCCCTGCTTCCCCACGCCTCTGCCCTGGCGCGGTCTGGAAAGGAAGCTGGGAGCCCTCTGAGGCTCCACGGACTGAGATTTGGGAAGGGATGGCGCGCGGCCGAGGCTTTCCCTCGAATTTGCGGCAAGTCTGGCTCCGGGAAAGTTTTTCAAAGTTCCCAGCAGCGTCTGCCTAGGTCGCCTCTGCGGGGCGAGCAGACGGCGACAAGCGCGCCAGTCTCGCCGCCGCCAGCACAGAACTCTGGGCTCGCTCGCTGGGAGCGGCCCGGGTTCCCGGCGGGCAGGCCCTCCTCCCCGGGCGAAAGCCGCAGCTGACGCAGGCGGCTCGGAAGGCGGAAGCCGCCCGCCCCAACTGCTCCGGCCGCACCGCGGCGCCTACACCTGGGGCTTGCCTGGGAGCTCAGGCCGCGCACCGAGGGGGCGGTCCGTCGGAGGCACTCCGGGCGTCCCGGAGCCACCGGCTCCTCCACGTTCCCCCCGGATCCTTCCTTCCTCCCGGCCCGAGGTCCCCAGGGCAGTGTTTTGCGTGTGGGGTCCCCCGGACGGCAACGCCACCCGGTACATCCCGCAGCCCCCCAACCCCTTCTAAGTTCCTCCCCTCCCCATCAACCGGGAGGAAAGGGGCGTGCCCGCTAGGGGACACGCCCCTTATGAATATTAACAATCGCGCATGCGCCTTGTTCCGCGTGCTGGGTAGAGGTGGCCAGCCTGAGTCGCGGCTCCCAGACGGGCTCTCCGGGTCCCTCTCTCCGAGAGCCAGGCGGGCACGCGTCATTGTGTTACCTGCAGCCGGCCGGCGAGCTAGGCTCAGGTTTTTTTTTTTCCCCTCCCTCCCCCGCGTTCCATGCAGCTGATCTGAAAGGGAATAAAAGGCTGCGCATAATCATAATAATAAAAGAAGGGGAGCGCGAGAGAAGGAAAGAAAGCCGAGAGGTGGAAGAGGAGGGGGAGCGCCTCAAAGAAGCAATCAGAATAATAAAAGGAGGCCAGCCTCTTTGCCTTCTGGAACGCGCTGTTCTTGAAAGGGCTTTTGAAAAGTGGTGTTGTTTTCCAGTCGTGCATGCTCCAATCCACGGAGTATATTAGAGCCGGGACGCGGCGGCCGCGGGGGCAGCGGCGACGGCAGCCTCGGCGGGAGCACCAGCGCTAGCAGCGGCGGCGGCGTCCGGAGTGCCCGCGGCGGGCGGCGCAGCGATGCGGTCCCCACGGACGCGCGGCCGGCCCGGGCGCCCCCTGAGCCTTCTGCTCGCCCTGCTCTGTGCCCTGCGAGCCAAGGTAGGAGTCTCTCTCGCTCTTTTTCCCCGGACTCTTCACCCTTCCCTCGTGGCGTCCTGGACGCGGGCGGCTGTGGCTCCTAGAGCAGGCTCCCGCCGAGTCCTTGGGCACCAGGCTCCCTGACCCTGACTTTTCATCCAAGAGGCTGCAGTGGGTCTGGGAACGCCGGCTCCCCAGATAAACTCCAGGAGGAGTAGAGTGCGTTCATTACGCTCTTGGCCCCTCGGGGCAGTTCTCCCATTTTTTTCCCTTCGCACTTAGTTTTTATGCCCCTGAATCAGGTCAAGCCCTGAACCTAGTTTTGCAAAATTATTTTCACTTGCCGCCGAGGAGTCTTCGCGGCTTGGGAGTGGGGGTGGGGGTCGCAGGGAGTCTCCACCTCCACCTCGAGAGAAAAACTTTCTCATGAATTGACCCTCCTTCCTCGCCGGCAGGTGTGCGGGGCCTCGGGTCAGTTTGAGCTGGAGATCCTGTCCATGCAGAACGTGAACGGAGAACTGCAGAATGGGAACTGCTGCGGCGGCGCCCGGAACCCCGGCGACCGCAAGTGCATCCGCGACGAGTGTGACACGTACTTCAAAGTGTGCCTCAAGGAGTATCAGTCCCGCGTCACAGCCGGCGGACCCTGCAGCTTCGGCTCAGGGTCCACTCCTGTCATTG